CTAAACCCTAAGCCCTACATGCTACCGGAAGGTCCAGCGTTATAATACACTACTGACCATTATATTTGCAACCCATTTATATAGAAGCACCCATGGTCTGGCAAGGACTAGGAAACACCTACACCCCACCCCCAAGCCCCAAACCCTAGGCCCTACTACACTAAACGCCCTAAACCCTACAGATCCCGAGAAATTTGTACCTATATCCTCTCTGCCCCAGGCGAATAAGCCTTATCCCTAAATCCTAAACCCCAATCTCCATGGCCCAAGCCCCAGACTTTGGGATTTGCGCTCTGGCCTGGGACCCTGCGCGAAAGCCGCTTTCAACGGTCCAGCACCTCGATCCTTGCATCTTGCCTTGGATCCTAGTAGCATTGCCCAGAGGGTCCATGTACCCAATAAAGCGGTCCCTTTAAGGGATATATATATAGGGATATATAGGGATATATATATATATATAGGGATATATAGGGGTATATAGGGTTCAGGGTTTAGGGTCCATGTACCCAATAACTAGGTACTTGGGTTTTGGGTAATAGTGATTAATTGTAGTACAGGTTTTGGGCAAGTATATGATTACTAAGAACTTGTCCCCTTAGGGTTGGTTAGGGATTCTGAGGCTTCAGGTTTGGGTTTACAGGAAATAGGGTCTGGGATTTAAAGCGAAAAGGGCTTAGTGTTTATGGGGTTTAGGGGTTGCAGGGTGTAGGGTTTGTAGTTTTGGGGTTTGTGGGGTTGAGGGCCTTGGGTTTATAGGGTTCAGGTTTTGGGGTTCATAGTGTTTAGGGTTTAGGATTTGTAGGGTTTCGGGTTTATAGAGCTTAGGGGTCTGTGGTTTAGGGATGAGGTTTCAGGGTTTGGGTTTTTTCTATCTGGCCCTCGTGGAGAAAAAAAGACTGGGACAGAACATGGTGCCTACTGTAGGGATACTTTTGTTTATGGGGCCTGAGGCATTACACATAGTGGAGACGGAAAAAAACATGGAAGATGGAACAGAAGCCTGGATTAGGCACAGAACATGACAATGAAACAAAACCTAGGACTAGATGTGCCTTGAGGGGGCATGTAATGGTGGTTGTTAGTAGGCAATGGAAACTGAAATGGAGGAACACTAAACCCTAACCCTCAGCCTCAAACCCCAAACCTCGGAAGCATCTGCGGCTCTCGGATTCCAGGCGTTTAGGATCGTAGGGCTAGGAAAATGGAAAGCCAAACGGAAAAGCACATGGCAATGGAGAATTAGATGGAAACCAGTGGTCTTCAGGGAGAATTAGTGTAGAGGGTGACATGGCTTGTTGTTAGTTAACCTGGGGCGAATTAATCAAAGTAACACTCCCAACTTCAGGCGTTGCGGCTCGTGGTTTAGGGTTCCGGGACCAGGGTTCCAGGGGGGCTGCTGTAGTGATCCCTTCCTTTTCCTACTGACAACCAGCAAGTTTTGGAGTTGCCCAGGCCAGGGGCCCTTAGGTCAGGGCTTGGGGTTTAGGGTTTCAAGGCTGGAATTGTAGGCCCCTTTTATGGTCTTTCTTTTTTTGGGGGTCTCTAGGGGTATATGTAGGATTCAGAATAGGATGCCTTTGGGCACCCCAGGGGACCTCATGGTAGGGAGATTACAGGGGGTCCCTTTTGAAGATAGTGCCGGGATCCTTTCCAAATACTTTTGCAAACCGTGGGGCTCAGCACATAGCAGTTCCTAACTTAAGGTGTCAGAATCAAGGGTTGACAGGTTCAGGGCTTCGGCATCAAAATTGGGGTTCAGGGTTTAGTAGGTAGGTTTCAATATTTACAGCTAAAGGTCTCAGAGTCGGGTGGTAAGGATTGGGGCCAATTAGGGTTTGTAGCCTGAGTTTCTCCAAGGCAGGTTGTAGGGTGGAGGGCTTTCAGGCTTGGGTTTAGGGTTTCGGGTTTGGGGTTTTGGGTCTGGGGTCTGGGTTTCGGGTATAGGGTCCCAGAAATCCAAACATGCGTCTCAAAGGTATGTAGAGCAATGGGTTGTGCTCTTTGTGGCTTTGGGGCCATGGTTTTGCATACTTGTGAGGTCGGGGCAGAGTTTTAGGGGTTAGGGGTAAGAAGTAAACCCTAAACCCCATACCCCATACCCCATACCCTAAACCCCAACACCCAAAGCCTAAACCCCAAACCCTAAACCCCAAACAACGAACCCTAAACCCTAAACCTTAAACCCTAAACCCTAAACCTTAAACCCTGAACAGCGGGGGAGTGAGGAGTGTTTTTCTTGGGTGTGCAAACCCGCTCGGCGGGCCAAAAGAACACAACTTGAACCCTAAACCCCAAGTTAGGGTTTCGGCTTCCGGGGCTCCATTTTGCAGCCAGACATGCTCAATCTCCGTCATCAGGAACCCAAGTGTTTTTGATTTTGGGTAATTTTGTTTCAGGACTTGGGGGCTGAAGGGATGGGCATGTGAAGGTTTGGAGCTGAGGGTAGGGATGAAGGAGTTTAGGGCTTATGGCTTAGGGTTTAGGGTTTAGGGTTCATAGGGTGAAGGAGGAAGCTTAGTCCGCAAGGGTTTAGGGCTTAAAGGATCAGCGCCATCAAGGTCATATTTGATGCTTCCCCACGGAAACCTCAATCTGCAAACCCCTACACCCTAAATCCCGCACGTCTAAACCCTTACCTCTACCTTGACGTCAAAAGAAGTGCCCGCAAACCTTTCAAAAAAGATTTAAAAAGGCTCCGATTCCAGACATATTTCTGGCTTTCAGGTAAAGCCTAAGCCCTATAGCTCCTAAGCCTTAAACCCCCAACGACCTAAGCCCTAAAACCTTACGACCCTCCTTGGGACTTAGTATGAACCTCAGGCCCTTAAGCCTTTGGGATTCCCTTAGACTCCTACCATGGGTACCTAAGGGTTAACCGGTTCTAAGTGCCACCTGGGACCTTAAACCCCAAAGTCTAAGTCCCCTAAGCCCTAAACCCTAGACCCTAAACCCTAAAACCTAAACCCTAAAACCCACAAGTTTAAGTCAAGGTGCAGTGTGGCAGCGTCCGGAGACTGTGGGCTGCTTCTCTGTGGAGGTCTAGACGGAGAGCTCGGACTCCAGTTCCTGGTTTTGGGGGAGCGGTTCAGGGTTTAGGGTTGAGAGTTTTAGGGTTTAGGGTTTAGGGGTTTCTGGTTTGGGGCACAGCGTGGAGGGTTTGGGGAGGCTTATGGTGTAGGGCTTGGGGTTTATAGAGGTCGCTACGAAGTTTAAGCTGCGTCAAAGTTGGTCATAGTTATAGTTGTAGTTGTTTTTTCATTTCTTGTTCTCAAACCCAATAAATTCTAGAGCTCTAAATTTCAGCCATACCTAATGTGGAGCCAATCATGAGCTTTGCTTATTTTGCTCCTAACAGAAGCCCTAAACTCCTGAACAGTGTTTGGGTCCAGTGCTCAGTGCATGAGTTAAGGACCAGATGATTTGGATCAAATCAGGGATGGTTGAATTGCCTGATTGTCTGAATCTCCATCAAAGGTATGTGCTTAGGTTTCAGGTTATAGGGAGAAGAATCCACCAGTGAACGCAAGAGTAGATGCAACTGTCCCTGAACCACTCGCTGAACCTTGCAATTTTCAGGTCGCATGTTAATCTGCGGCAGGATTGTTACGTGTAAGGACAAAGCCGCAAGCCTTATGGCCCAGGCTTAGGGCTTCAGGCTTTAGAGTGTAGCGTTTAGGGCTTGTTCTTGTCTCTGCGGCGGATGGAGAAAATCTTGGACCACTTCGGATCACCAAAGCGTTTTGCTTTTTTTGTGTGTATGGTTTTCTGAGGCGGTGCAAGATTTCCGCTAGCCAAGGTACATCACAAATGTTTTCTGGTAGGTTGTCAAAATTCTGGTCCGCTTTGTGGGGGGCTGTGGTAAATTGAGGCCTCCCCCTTGTTCCTGGAAGGAGGCCCCTGCCGCTCAACCCACCATGACCCAAAAGGGTTCCTGGTTTTCACAACTTGCCATACAATAATGTCACTTCACTACTACTGTCATTGTTGTTACTACATCCCAGACCCCCTAAAGGATCCAAAGCATGGAGCCCCTTGATGACCCCCTAGTTTTCTTAATGTAGTACTGGGTTCACATTGGGGGGGTTCTAGTTTTTGGATCCCTTAAAGGGGTCTGGGATCGTGTGTTCGCCAAACTTGCCCCACCCCTCTCTCAGCCCCCTAAACCTTCAAGCGTCCAATCCCAATGCTTAAAGCCCGAGCCCTAAACACTAGCTTTTGGAATTTGGGGTGGTGGCCCAACCTAAGCCCGAAACCCTTAACTCTAAGAACTAAGCCCCGAAGGCCACACTTAGGCTTCCCTAAACCTGAAGCCCTACAAGCCGTACAAACTCTAAGCCCTCAACCCGTTTTTCACTGTGGACTTGACCCAGCACCTAGGACTCTTTGACGTCCGTTGCATGCACGAACCGCCTCCCACTGCAAGAGAGTTTTGGTTTAGGGCGAGGGGGTCAGGAGTTGGGTCTCAGCATATAGGGCTTAGAGATTTGCAAGAAGTTGAATCCCAGGGTTTTGGGCTGACAGTTTCGGGGTAAGGAGTTGGGCCCCAGAGTTTAGGGCCTAGACCTTGGGAGCAAGAAATGGAACTTAGGGCTTACGGTATACAGTCTTCATGTTGTAGGGGCAGAGGCTCAGATTGTGGCCACATTCGCGCTTCCTGCAAAACTTTCAAGCGCATCATCCATTGCTAACCCTCGATGCCGAACCCTCAATCCCTGGACCACTTCATCTTTTCGATGGTCAGTTTCAATCGGTTCTCCTCACCATCCCCTCTATACTACCCCCCTGAGTTTCCCTTCAATGACCTTGTTGTCCCTAGTTGTCCTTGAGACCCTAAGCCCTGAGCGGCATGGACACCTTAAAGCAATATGAGAGTTTCCCAAAATTAGGGGTACCTTTTTGGGGGTCCCCATCATAAGGATTATAGTATTTAGGGGTCTATATTGGAGTCCCCCTATTTTGGGAAATTACAATATATTAGCGAAGAGGAAGCTGAGAGCAAGGTTGGCGCGGCCTCCTCGAGCAACTGGCGCAGTCGCTGCAAGACTGCACATATCCTTGGGCTCTGAGCGGTTTAGGGTTTGGGGTCCCTGGTCTATAAATGTTGTGCCTAGAGCTGGCCCCGAAGTCCATAAATCTTAGCTACTTAGGCTATTCGGAGCCCTACGGATATGCGTCATACAGGTGGATGGTTGCTTTGAATTGGGTTTCCCGTTCGCAGGGGGATTTCACAGGAGTCCTCTTTGCGATGCAAGGACCCTGCATGATAAGATGCATGGGAACAGCCAGATTAACATGACTGGGTTGCTGTTACGGAGTTTAATTTAAGCTACCATTTCGGGGAAACCATTTTGGTGAAAACTTAGCTTAAGTTCCTTCACGGCAACCCAGATGAGGTCTCTATGGGCTTAGTCATGAATCCCCTGGGGAGGCCCCAACAGAGGGTTTGAGATTCAGGGTTAAGGGGTTGCGGCTGTAGCCTGCCAGAGAGAGAGAAAAGCCCATAGGATTATAGGTGTGTCGGTATCATCTACCCTTTGGATGATTTGGCAGCTCATTGCATGAAATTCGCACGCGCCTGGATGAGGTTTTTGAGTGCGTGGTTTTGATTGAGTACGGAATGCAATCTATCAACATGTCATAGCGATAGATACCTGACGTGCAACTCTACTTGTATTTAGCTGTGAACCTCCCTAAGCACGCAGGCTTCTGAGAAACAAGCCAGGATAGTTTTATGCTACGATTATGTAGGGTTCTATTGGTGTTACATAGCGTCATAGGGATCATATGGGGATGAATGCCTGAGAAATATTGTATCTCGTAGCTGAAGCCCATAACCTAGGGCCAGGATTGCATCCTTCCATCCTTGGTGAAGCCTGCGAGGTTCCAAAAGTGGGGATACTTTCGGTGGACCCCCACCTTGTAATTAATCGTGACTATTAGGGATAGTAAGGATTCTATTAGAGTCCTGATCTATTCTTTTTATACCACTCTTACAGGGCGGGGGGTCCCCCTGAAAAATACGATTTGCAGTTCCAGGGGTAGCCTCGGGATGTGAATCTGAGTTTTCAGCAGTCTCACGGTCTTACACTCTATCTTTCTGCCATTCCTTCCTTGCATTTTTATTTGTTTTATTCTTTTGTCCCTTTTTTGTTCGTGCTATCTTTCTGACTGTTTTTATTCCTTTCTTGGTTCCTCCTCGCTTAGCTGCCCTTTAGAATCTCTAGTTCTGTCTTTGCCCCGTGACGAACAGATGTGTTTGTGCAGGTGAGACTGCAGATGTGGCGCGCTTCAGACCAAGTCGTGGCCGCTGTGGCAGCTTGGCAACCGAAACGTAACCCCCTATCGCCCTGGTTTTGATGCGACAGGAGTCTTTGTAGAGCCTCTTTCGTGGTTACATGTTAGTCTCGGGCCATGTGGGTTTTCAGGAGTTTAGGCTAGTTTGCCAGGATTTTGTGTGCCATGTCCCCGACTTCCTAGTACGACTTCAAAGCCCAAAACTCGCCAGGCAAAGTCTTGCTAGGCCTGTTCTTTGCGTCAGATCTAGCAGTCCGAAGCAGTGGATATGCGCTTGCCTCCTCGCCGGCCTCGATGAGGAAAGGCCTTTACTTTAGGAGGGCCTTGCACCTTGTAATAGTGGTATAATATGAATGTACTAGGACCTTATGATCGTCCTGATTATCCCTTCCAGTCACTACTGTAGGGTAGGGCGTCCTTTTACCCTACACGCTGCATATCTCTGGGTTGTTGTTAAGGAACTTAAATAAAGTTACCATAATGGGTATATGTAGTAAATAATAGGGTTTCCCCAATATAGTAACTTAATTTAAGTTCCTTAACAGCAACCCAGATCTTTCACCTGATTGGGGTGACTGGCAGTGGCTCAGATTTCACCACGCTGGGCAAGACTTCAGGCCAAGGAGCTTCGAAGGCCTTCCCCTGGTGGGCCTTGGCGGGCTGGTGACGCCTACCTGTATGTAGAATAGTGGCCTTTATAGCTGTCATTTTGGGTTTAGGGCTATTATTTTACATACTTTTGGGGTTTAGGTAAGAGTTCTAGCACGGCAAGGACATTATCATGGGGTTTAGGGTTTAGGGTTTAGGGCGTTTGGTTCGCAAGGAGAAGGCCAAAAATGGTAATCATAGCTCATGTAACCCAGACCACGCGAAGGAGCTTTAAAGACAACTTGTAAAACATATCGGTGGTAGTCTAGCGTTGCTCAACCCGACGCTGCGACACCCTGGTAGCAGTAGTCCTTCAGGCTTGCGGCTGCGATTGCACTTGCGGTGCAAGTCGCCCTGTTCATTGCAAGCTGCTTCTGAGTTGTATGTGGCGCACGGTTTTCGGTCAGACGACCACGCCGCAAGCGCCAGTTTGAATCAAGAACTTTTCTGCAGGAAGCGGGCACAAGACGGATGTCGGGACATGTTCCATATCAAGACAGTTTGAGCTATAGTCTAAACTCCTCAGTATTAGGGGATGATTTAGGGAAGGATTATAGGGCTTGTTGATGCTAGGAGTTTCGACCATAGCTCATTTGAAGACCGATCACGAGGACAACAATCCTGCCCACCACGCTGCTCAAGAACTGGAGCCCGCGTTTCCATAAGGCAGGGGTCCCATTTGGGGAGTCCTCGAAATGAGGATGCTATCGTCCACAATATGAAGCAGGTTGTAGCTTCCTCCTGCTCTTGCTTATCCTATTTTATAAGAAAGGAATATATGTATATATATATATGTATGTGGTTCAGCAAGCACGGCTGACATGATTCTGGGTGGAAGATTTTGAACATGTTTATGCCCCTGCGTGGCCTGACTTTGCCAGCAGTCCCCAATCCGTCGCGCAAGGCTCTTGAAATCAGACGCCAGTTTGGTAAGCCTTGTGTAATGTACAGACTGGAATAACCTTTGTGTCTTGTCCGCATACAACTAGTGTATCAGTTTGCCCAAAACCCAGTCCGACTTCGAATCCTGCACTGTAATGGTAGTTTCCATAAATAAAAAACCCAAAAAAAAACACCAAATACTATATTCCTTATTATGGGGACCCCCAAAAAGTTATTCCTAATTTTGGGAAACCCCTTAATTCCTGAACCTCCATCCTCAGCTGACGCCAACTCAGATGGAGTGAGGCATCTGCTGAGCGCGGCCTCTACTCCCTCACAGCTACCCAGTTGCAAAATTGATAATATATGGGGGTTACCCAAAATAAGGGGTACCCTCTGGGGGGTCCCCATAATCAAGATTATACTTTGGGAAACTACCATATGACCTGCAAATATCTCAGCACTCTCATGCTTTGTCAGAACTTGCTGTGGATTCATGACGTGGTTTAGGTTTTGAGCTCTGTGTCCACGGTATGCGGATTGTATATGGCTGCAATTTACCTTAAATCACCCTGAAACATGTTGCTATGTATGATAATGATGCGTGAGGCGGTCAACTTAGGGGTGGGAATGTCTCGAGATTTAGGGAGGCCTTTTTGTGATGGGATTTTTTTGTCCTTGAGTAATCTACACGGGGCCAACCCTTTTTATTCCATAAGCCCCAAGCCCGTAAAGCGCGCATCTTCATTTCCGAGCTCTAAACCCTAAATCCCGGTGAGGAGTGTTATGGCTTGGGCATATGCAAGCGAGCAAAGCAAGCAATGCCAGCAAGGGCAAACAAAGCAAGCAACAGAAGACCCCTCGAATATAACCCGGCAGTGCAAGCACTATCGCAGTTTGAAACGTAATGGAAAGAGCAAGCGCGCATAAGACTTTGACAGACTCTTTGGATATCCCAAACGTGGGGCCACCCAAAAAAGTACCGCAATTCTAACAACCTACCAGATACTTTGAGGCTTGAATGCGAAATGAGACGGTCCTTACTGTTCAGAATGCTCCAAGAGGCCAAGGGGTACCACGACTACGATTCAGCCCTAAACTTCAAGCCCCAACACCTTGCTTAACCCCAAATCCTACATTCTCCGAGCCATAAAGGTATTCAACCCTGAATGGAGCACGGAGGATAGGATGAGCCAACCTACTGTGCCATATGGTGTTGCTTCAAGAATGCACCAGAGCTCGTCTTTGGGGTGTTCGGCTCAAGGAACCAATCGTGGTTCCCATCAAGGCTACCAACTAGTAGCCATAGCGCGTCTTACATGTGGCTGTGAACTCTGTAGAAACCAGCGCACGAATGCCAACCTACTTCAATAGCAGCTTTCACTGCGGAGTATGGGTTCAGGGTTTAGTGTTAAGATAGCACTTTCCGTTTTGGCTGCAACATTTATGTCGGGGATATAGTCTTACTCTGTCAACCGCTTAAAAGAAGACACTGTCTGCGCTGATTACACTTATTATGAGCTAAAGTCTACGCTCCTTAAGGGGGTTATCTCAGGGGATTATGTGGGGGAGTGTTAGAAGGGTTATTTAGGGAGATACTAGGAATGTAGACTGTAGCTCATATCATCAAGGCTTTACGGGGTTGCCGCTCTTTAAGGGTTTAAGGCTTCCGGTTTAGGATCCCGGGGGGATAAAGCAAGATGCCTCGGCTAGGCGACCTAAATCCTCACGGCTCAATCGTCTCTTCAGCCCCAAAAACCTAAAACCTAAACCCTAAACTCAGCTCTCAGCCCTGAATATCCTGAACCCTCAGCCCTCAACCCAGAAAACCCTAAAGCCTAAGCCTACATCTCTCAACCCCCAAACACCCTGAACCCTGAGCACCCTGAACCCTAAACCCCCATCTCTCAACCCAAAACCTTTCTGTCAGCCAGCAAAAAAGGTCGGCCCTGGGTGCGGTAGTGGCCTCCTAATGCCTGCTGCGTACCATCCGGCCTTGGAGGCCTAGCAGATGGGGTTTAGGGTTAGGGTAGACCCCTACACCTACCCCTTTTGTAGGATACCTAGCCTCATGTTTAACTAGTATCTTCTATATAGAAAAGTAGGTACCTGAAACAGGGGGTAGGGCAAAGAGATCTGGTTCACGGCTGGGTACGCCCCCCACCTAACAACAGTTAGATAACAGTCATCTTCTAGGTATACATAGCTCTAGATATCAACCCTATTACAGACTAGCTGTTATTGGGTGGTGGCAGTACCCAAGGGACAGGCTCACCACTCCCTAAATCCTAAACCGTAAACCCTAAATCCTGTGTTTTTGAGTCTTAGGGTCTGGACTTGGTGATGGGTGCTTGGGGCTAGGGATTTAGGGGATTCCTTGCACACAAGTAGAATCATTTTTGGGGGGAGGGGTAGTGTAGCACATGAGCCATAGTTATAAAGGGCAGTCCATCGGGAAGTACTATAGGGGCTTTTAAGGGATATTAGGAGTTTGGACTATGGTGATGTTGGGTGACTTGGGTTTCCAGGTGAGGCTTGCGGTTTAAGCGTTTTGGAATTAGGTGTCGGGCTTCTTCTAAGGCTCACGGTAGGGCCTTTAGGGGAGCTGCATACTGCGCATGCCACTGGATCGCAATGCTTTTTGTGCTAAGACGCGGGGAGGATATGGTTAGCAGTATCCCAATTGGGAATTAGTCCAGCATATCCGACTTGACCTTAAACACTAAGCTACTCTAGGGATTCAACCAGGCCAGAGTAGGTACGGCCTATAAGACTGTAGGGCTCAAGTGGCTACTGCTTGTAGATCTCTAGGAAATGGGTGTATTGCAGAATTGGTCCCGACAGTTAGGATGCCTTTGAGAGTTCCCTCATGTTGAGAGATGTTTGAAAAGTATCTGTTACTATGTCCTGAACCACCTTTTGTGTGTTTTTGCTCCTCTTCAAAAGATTGGCAGAGGGGATTTCGCTGAGTTCCGAGCCATGTTCGTTAAGGGTCCAGCTGTTAAAGTCTTTCTGTGCGGCATTGAGAGATCATGTCATACCTTATGCCTGCAGACATTACATGCGGTTAAAGGGTTTCTATCCGCAGCCGCCGCTTCAGCAAGCGTGCGACTTATGATGTAGCCATGTCTGCAAGCCAGCTAGCATGGCTAGGCACTTCATTGACTTCACGACACGGACCCGATCCCTGTGTGGGAGCTAACGGAAACAAGGTGAAGGTGAGGGGTGTTCAGCTGACTGAAACAGTGGCAAGCTGGGGCGCAAGCATCACAGAACATCGGCAAGAAGCAGGCTGTGGCAGCGAGCGAGCAGCAGATAAGACCATCGCATGGTAATTCCCAAATCCCTAAATCCCGGCAATGGCCCTAAATTAGCCTACGGGAGCCATATCTCTCTATAACCACCCTGTATACACGCACAAGTCCCTATAGCCCTGCAGTATCTCATGTAAAACTTCTTACAGGGCGTGATTGCAGGTGCAATTTATACAGCTCCATTTTACTGTACTACAATCCAGTAATGGCTTTATTAGAAAAAGAAAAGGGTACGCAATTGGGTAGCAAGATCAATTACAAGTAGGTCATACTTGCCCTGATAGTCTTATACAATACCCTACTGTATATGAAGACTTCCCTTTTGCACTTTCTAGGGTGCGTGGGTATTTATAGCCTGCTTATAACTGTACTGAAGCCCAGTTGTGAGACCCTTAAGTCCCCTAATACATTCATGAATATGTTCTGAGTACCCTAATTAGATCTCAAACCGTAAAAGGCAAGAAGGTTTTGCCTGGATTGCCCAATCGAACAGAAGCGTTGCCAACAGAAGCCTTTAAACATGTGTTGAAGTACCACAAGACCTAGGCCCTCAACCTTGACATTAGGTTATAAGTATATATATATGGTCCTGCGCTCTG